CTCATAGTTAACCTCATCGCCTTAAAGGTTTGTAGGATCCATAGGTTTTGGAAAGCCTTGTGAGGTGGCTCTAAGAACTCCAACATCTAAAGCATCTAGATAAGCCTCCATATGAATTTTCCAATATGAAAAATCATCTCTCTCAAAAATAGGAGGGGGTCCATCCCCGTGGGACATCTTTCTCTAGGCAGTAAAGCCTAATTTAGCGAGCATGAGGCTCTGATACCAATTGAAGGGATCAAGATACCCAAGAGGGGGTGAATTGGGCTAATTCAAAATTCTTTCAATAATTAAGTCCTACACTTAGCCCACTTCACCTCTTGTGCCTAGAATGTGTTTCTATTGTCCTGCCGCATAAAAGTTTTGCACCCTAGGTTCTAATCCAACTCTAACAAGGCAATTTTAGGAATGTAAAGACATGAAATGAAATGCTCAAATATAAATGCTCAAAGTAAAGAAAGGGAAAGGAACGCGGTGATGTTTTCTAAGGTATCGGAGAGTTGTCACTCCCCACTAGTCCTCGTTGGAGCACCCGCGCAAGGGTGTAGCTCCCCCTTAATCCGTGCAAGGATCAAATGCTCTCTACAGGCTAATTCTTCGACACTCCATCATGGTGAATTGCCCACAACCGCTCACAACTTGAGTTGGATCATCCACAAGCTCCGCCGGATGATCACCAAACTCCTAATCACTACCGAGCCATCTAGGTGATGGCGATCACCAAAAGTAACAAGCACAAACTCTCACTTGACCACGACAAGCCTAATGAGAAGGGTGGATGCACATTTGCTACTCTCTATGCACTAATAAGGACCTTAATCTTGTATTCTCAAATCTCAATCATCTTACTAGGTTCTTGCTCTTCTTTGCACTCTCAAGGTGTTTCTCAGCTGAACAAATGGGCAAGAGACCTCCCTTGGACAAGTGGAGTAAGTATTTAAACCCCCTCATTCAAAACATAACGTTTAGAGGCTGAGTTAGCGTTCTGTGGGGTGACCGGACACTCCGATTAGTGTGACCAAACGCTCCGGTCAGTTATACCCGCCATTGCGTCAAAAAGAGCCATTATGCTCTAACGGACTCTGACCTGCGTCCGGTCAAGAAAAACGCTCTCTAGAACCTTACTGATGTTGATTGAACACTGGCACCCAGAGTCCGATCACTTCACTGTTCAGCGTTCCGGTTAGTTATCGGATCCTGACCAGCGCCCGGTCAGCATTGACCGGACATGTCCGATCATGAAAATAGTCTCTCTAAACCTCTCTGGAGTTGACTGAACGCTGGTACCCAATGTCCGGTCCACCTCCACACAACGTCCGGTCAGTACCGACGACTGCAGTTGATCAAATGAACTGACCGAACTCATCCTCCAGCGTCCGGTCACAATCTAGACCAGCGTCCGGTCAATCATTTGACCCTCCATTCACTTCCAACTCGAAATCCTATGTGAATGAAGTTTACTCCAATTGATCTTAGGGCTACTCCTGAGCTACCTAGTGCTAGATTTGATAAGTGTGCACCACACCTAATCCACTAGACTTACTTAGGTCAAGCTACTAGTCCATACCCCCCTTAGTAGTACGACCAAAGGAAAAAATAAAGTCCTAAACTACTCTAAGTGTCTCTCCAACACCAAACGACACTTGGAACTAGTCCATCGACAGGGGCATAACAACCATGATTGCCCAATCAATTGCCATTACCATGACCTAACTCAAATTGCCTCTACAAAACACACGTTAGTCATAGTAATCTCGTGTTGTCATTAATCACCGAAACTCAACTAGGGGCCTAGATGCTTTCACATAGCAGTAGGGCTCCTGGAGCTTCTCTTTGGGCTGCCCCTCGTCTAGCATAGGTTCTACTACCTTCTTCACCATTCTTGCACCCCCATTGTAAGAACTTCAGAGCATTCAAGCGAGGAACACGCACTCGATCTTCTCTGAGACTGGACGTAGGGCTCCGACCCGAACCATAAATAAATCATGTCTCTATTGGATGCTACCATCGTCTTCCTAGAGCAGCGCGGCAATCGTATAAATTTACTAGTCCGATTTACGAAACACCGACCGATACGTTCGCCACATGTCTCTTAAAATGGTATGTTGAGAAGAAAATGCTTTCTCTTACTTTGGACAATGTGAGGTTGTTGTAAAGGATGTGATTGCAGAACTGAAGAAGCATAGTCCTTTAGTTTGTGATGGGTAAGTTTTTCATGTGAGATGCGTCAATCACATTCTTATTCTTGTTGCTAGAGATAGTATGTGCGTGACTGGTTTGCAATTAAAAATATTAGAGCTTTTATAGTAGCTGTGAAGGGCTCTACGATATAGTGGGAGGAATTTATAATGTGTGCCAGTGAGTGTGGTTTGGACACCAACTCTGGCCTCTCTCTAGATGTTTCCACTAGGTGGAATTCGACATATCTTATGCTAAGGGATGTCATGTATTATAAGATGGCTTTTGAGAGGCTCAAGTCATATGAGCATAACGTGTTTGAGCATATTTATCCTTCACCTGAGGACCATGAGAATGCACAAATTTTGCTCCCATTCTTTTGAAAGTTTTATGACCTTACCGAGTTATTATCTGGTACTGCTTCCTATCTTATAGTAAATCTAGTTTTAGTGGTTTTTGTGAGATTAAACTTATGCCCAATGCTCAATGATTGGTGTTGTAGTAATGATAATCCCACTATTAGTCAAAAATGACCAATGTTATAATCAAAGTGTAATAAGTATTGAAATAAGTCCAATGTTTCACTCGTTGGAAATGTTCTTGATCCTAGGTATGAGAGAAAAAATATTGAACTTTACTTGAGATAGTTGTATAAAAATTCCCATCAAGTTGAAGTCGACAAGTTTAATACTGTGATTAAGAATATGTATCAATTATATCCTACTACTACTCCTTCATCTTCAAAACATAGAGCATCTATGGCCGCATTAGCTGCAAACTAGATTAGGGACTACATAGATGAAGAACCTGATAGCTTTCTATATGACAATGAATCAAGTGGCCTTGATATGGATGAATCAAAATGAATAGATAAATACCTAGCAAAAACAACATTAAAGCTTTTGAAGGCTAGTTAGCATACATTTGATGTTTTGGCATGGTGGAAAACTAAGAGAGATGAATATCCTATGCTTTTCAGACTTGTCGATGTGTTGGTCATGCAAGTATCCACAGTTGCTTTTGAATCTTCCTTTAGTGCTGGAGGTTGGGTAGTTGATATTTTTCAAGTATTGAAAAAATACTATAGTTTTTTCCTACCATGTGTTTGGATACAATATACATTTTAAAATTTTAAACCACGACATTGTCAAAGCCGTAGTCTTTTTGTGTTTTATGTTTAGTTTCTAGCCACAAATTGTCACTATTTGCTATAAAAATTTGCCACACTTGCCTAAGGATAAGTGCTCAAAATATTTACCACACCTTTGTAAGTCAAAGGACATCTCTAATGGTGACTTATGAGCTAGCTCTAAGCATATTATTTCATATTTTAATATAAGAGAGAGAGAGAAAGCTATCTCTTGATCAAGAACTAGTCTTTTGCATACACTCCAAGATCATATGAAATTGTCATGTGGGGCTATTATACTATGAGCTACTTCATCTGTCTCACAAACAATGTCATTCTCATTTTCCGAGAAGTCAAACATTTTAACTTTGACCAACTATATATAAAAGAATATTAATGTTTGCTAATATTTTCTATAAAGCTAGTTAAATTTGAAAAAGTTTGACCAGCACGCATCCCATTGTGTCATTCTTTTTGGGACAGAGAAGTATGTGCTAAAAGTTTTTTTTTAATTTGTATGTGCTAAAAGTTAATACCATTAGAGAAATTCCGTTAGAACTATTAACTAGCTCATACTGTTGAGGGTGCCTTAAGAGAATTTTATCATAGTTTTTTTTGAGTCATTGGCATGTGGGACCTAATTTAAGGGAAGGAAAGCTTGCCACACTGTAGTGGTAACAAAACCTCAAAGTTGGTCAAACTTGTCTAACTTTAAGAGGTTGTTTGGTTAGACGATTTGAACCCGTTACCGCTTCACAGTGTGAACGGATTGCGGTGATTGCCGTTTGGACAGACCGGCCTGTAAATAGATGGCAACGTGAATGGATACAACATAGTATATCTCCGTTACCCCTCCTCTCGCAGCGCTATTCGCTCCGTTCTTGGAATCAGCTCTGCTTCCCCGTCGTTCCCCCGATGTACACATTCAACCAAACAAGTTGTGTTAACCGTTGCCTTGTAACGGTTGGCGCTAGTTTCAGTTCCGATTTACGTTGTCGTTGCCTGCGCCGAAACAAACAACACCTAAGTGTGACATGGTGACAAGTCGTGGCTAGCAACCAAAAGCCCTATTAGAAAATCCACTGAGGCTTCTTTTCTATAACCACGTTTTTGCATGTTTTTGGCTTATATAAAGCTACAACTTTTTGATATCATGATTTTCTAAAACTACACCATCCTCGTTTTTTTTCTTTATATTTACACTACTTTGTTCTGACAAACATTTCTCTATCATATAAAATAGTCATAATCGCATCCATACTTATTTATTAAAGAAATCAGATCAGATTTATTTCAACTAAAAAATTAGAAACCCATCTTTAGGCAGCTCTAGGGAAAATTTAATGTAGTGAAAATATGAAATTTCGTCATAGAGCCACAAAACTGTCACGTCAGTTGCTATTGCTATAGTACAGTTACTTGTAGCTGCATATTTATTTTCCTATCAACAATTTTCGTAGCCATTAAGTTTGTAGACGTCCTTGGTGTGCTATTTTTCTCAAAAACAAAAAATAAAGGACCAAAAAGAAGCTCACGTCCCACGCTTCTCACACCCGCTCGCGCGCTGCCCGGTTGCCCCGCGCTACTTATGCCGGACTCTCGTCACTGATCTGGTCCCCGGACACCACCACCTCTCCAGCCGCCCTCCTCCTCGTACGGCGCATAGATCCTTCTTCGCCAGCGCGGCGGGGCCATGGGCCGCCGTAGGTTCCGGCTCGCCGACATGATGCCCAGCTCCTGGTTCTACAAGCTCCGCGACATGCGCCGCCCGCGGGGTCACCCTCCTGCCGTTGCCAGCGGCGGGACCGCGAGCGCAATGCTACCGTCGTCGTCGCCGCCGCCGCCGCAGAGAGGGGCAAGGTCCGCCACCAGGCCTGCGTCCCCGAGGCGCGGGTCCGTGGCGCTCCCTCACAGGACGTCGTACTATTACCCCACCCGGGACCGGGAGCTCCCGGCGCCGGAGCCGAGGGACGCCACGGAGGAGGACCGGCACCGGCAACGCCTCCCCCAGCAGCAGTCGTCGCCGCCGAGCTGCTCCAGGATGCGGCACAGGGTGGGCGCCGTCAGGGTTGGGCGCGGGCTGGAGGCTCTGGCCGGGGCGCACGTCGACGCTCACCAGAGCCGGCGGCGGCGGGACATGTACGTCGGGCGCGACGCCAGCGACGAGGACGACGACGTCGACGAGGTCCGGAGGCCGGCGGCGATTGCGCCTTACAGCGTGAGCTGCAAGGTGATCGCGTCAGAAACGGACATCGTCATCGACCTCTGCTCCGGGGGCACCGCCGACGCCGAGCGGGTGCTCCCCCCGATCGTGACCAGGCCGGCGATGAGGGAGGTGGTCCGGTACGAGGTGAAGGACAGGCACGTCGTCGACGTCGCCGACACGACGCCGGCAGGCGGCAGCTCTGCCTCGGAGCAGGGGAGCAAGTCCCACCCGAGGCGGCCGTCCGTGTCCGTGGGGCGCCGCCTCAGGACGCGCGTCAACAGCCCGCGGCTGGCGTCCACCACCACCAGGTCGTCCAGGAAGAGCAGCAGCAAGCCGACAACAACCCCGGGGGCGTCGCCACGGAAGACGACGACGACGACGCCAGCACCGCCTCCGCCGCCAGCGCCTCTCGCGGAGAGCTTCGCGGTGGTGAAGTCGTCGGCGGACCCGAGGCGGGACTTCCGCGAGTCGATGGAGGAGATGATCGCGGAGAAGGGCATCCGCGACGCCGCCGACCTGGAGGACCTCCTGGCCTGCTACCTCGCCCTCAACGCCGCCGAGCACCACGACCTCATCGTGGAGGTGTTCGAGCAGATCTGGGCCAGCCTCGCCGTCGCCGGCGCTAACCCATGAACCGAAACGACGGCCAGGAATGAGCTGAGGTCATCATCATTCGTCGTCGTCCTCCCGCTGCATGCTCGATCAGTACATTCATTTCCAGTTCCAGCAGCGGATTAACTAGCTTTAGCCTTTAGTTCCGATCCTTATTGATGGTTGCAATGACAAAACAAAACTCCACAAGGAAACTCGACAAAGAAAAAAAGAAGACAACTTGGTTCGATCTGCGAAAGTTTTTGGTTCTTTACTTGCTCGGTGATCTTGTGATTCTTCTCTCCCTGGGATCGCGTGCGTGGTGCTCGCTGCTTTCTTGAGCGTTACTAGCTAGCGTGAACAGTAGCTCGTAGAAGGGCTGTTGTAGTCTGCGCTGGACATTTTTTTTAACGAATCAGGAGAGCCGCCGACTATATTAACATTAAAAAGAAGAACCCAGACCGGACAATACAGCAGACCTACGACAACGACGGGAAATAACGAAACAAAAAACAACAGCAAGCAACTAGCTCAACTATTGGCCGATTAGATTAAGACCTCAACACGCGCCGAGCAACACCACTAAAAACCACAAGTGGCCACCACGATGCAACATCAACAAAGGATGACAAAGCGATATGATGATACACCATCGTCGCCGCTTGCGCCGTTGTTTACCGACGATGTACCACACCGAATCAACCGCTGCCACGCAGCCGCTACACTGGACATCACCACCTATCAATTTCAGATTTACAGTTAGTAATCGGGACGGCCTCTGCGATCTGAAATTAAATCCAGGTGAATCGGCCGAATCGTAGAGTACAGCGACAGCTTAAACCGGAGAGATTATACTAGTAGCCTAGCCTACGATATCTAGGAGACCGTACTGGCATAGAAGCTGCCCGGCCGTGCAGTTCTGAATAGATCTGTGGGCGAATGTTTGTTACATCCCTACCTGGCTACCTGGAAGATACCAACGTCTCGCGCTTCGTACCTGTGGGCTGTGGCTCTGAACCCGGAGACAAAATAACGCCCGTATGCAGGACCCCCACACTGGAAGCAATAGCGTACACTCGCCAAAATACAGTCCAGCTCAATATAGCGTGAATCTTGTGGGTGATGATGAGAGTGTGTATGTCTTCGAGTTTTACTCTCTGCTCTTGTACATTGGACAGTAGCGTATCCATGTGGTCTCTGTTTTGTCCGCCGTAGAAGCGCCACCAGCTAGCTCCTACTCCAGCGATCACCAGCATCTTCTTGGTCCTTGCAGGCCACGGACCATGGCTACAGCTGCATAGGTAGGAGTAACAGCAAGGCATGTTTGGTACAACTTCAGGTGACTATGGGGGAATGTCACATCAAATATTTAGATATTAATAAAGAGCATTAAATATAGATTAATTACAAAACCAATTACATAGATAGAGGTTAATTTGCGAGACGGTTTTTTAAGCCTAATTAACCTGTCATTAGCAAATGTTTATTGTAGCACCACGTTGTCAAATCATGCACTAATTAGGCTTAAAAGATTCATCTCGCAAATTAGTCGCAAGTTATGTAATTAATTTCATAATTAGTCTATATTTAATACTCTATGTATATGTCTAAACATTCGATGTGACAGAAATTTTAAGAGCGTATGTAGAAACCAAACAGGGCCTATGAATCCTAGTAGTACACTAGCTAAGAGTCTGTTTGGATTTTGTTCTTGTTTTCATATTCTAGATAGCGAGCGCAGAATCTGGATTATTAATAAAAAAAATTAGGGATGTTTGGATCTCATTCTCAAAGTGATTATTGCCTTTGCATAGTAAAAATCTTCAAATAGTAGGTCTAGAGTACATAGTTCGATTTTAGAATCTCATTCTAGTATGCAAGTGTTTGAATCTCATTCTCATTTTCCTTAAGGGATCCCAACAAACCCTAATGTAGCAGCACTATTTACAAAAACTTCTTTTTTCGTGAAATACGTTTTGAGCCCCACGGAAGTATAAAACCATGTTTTATGGCTTCTTTGACTCTGGCTCCATATGGTTACTGAGCTAGCAGCCTGTTCGCTTGGTCGTATTTGGCTTATAAACCATGACTTATTAGCCAACGAACAGTATTTTTCTCTCACACCAAACCAACCAACAGTATTTTCAGCCATGCCTTATAAGACAAACAAGCTCCAACGAACAAGACTTAGAAGCCAAAATGAATGAAGCGTGCGATCGTACTTGACATAAATATGCGTTTCAACTCATACAGGAAGCAAACACCGCACGCGCAGTGTAGGTTGAAAATGGACGGTGTTTGTTTACTTTAAGGTCTCTTAAGAAAACTGTTCATTTAGGTAAAGTTGCTTGTGTCACTGTGTGGTGCCCATCTGGCCCAGGAGGCTAGGACACAGGGACAGCGGCCGGTCCACCGACCACCAGCGGTGGCGCAGCGACGCAGGAGAACGTGAATAGTTTCTTCTTCTGGGTCGTCAAAGGGAAGGGGTGCTGCCACTCGAATTGCGAGGAGCGCAAATTCGGTAAGCCCCACAAGTGCTACGAAATAGTCACAAAAAAAAAGTGCTACGAAATATGAATTCTGCATATGGTTGGGGGCAAGAGTGAGTGAGCAAACTCTGCACTGAAGATATATACTACCACCAGCCTGAAATGAAAAGAATTCATGCGACAGGAGGCGAGGAACACACGCTGGTACTCTCCACAGGAAAAAGCGGCACAAAGCAGGCAAACAAATTCACAGTCCCACGGATGAGATTCGGACACTGAACAGCTGCTTGTACGGACCTTTCCCCTCGTGGCTCCTGCCAAACGTGGCACTATTCGTTTGGTCTTAAAAGCCAAATTTTTTCAGCAAACGCATAGTATTTTTTTCTACTTTTTTAGTTAATAGTATTTTTTTCTCACAATAAACCAACAATATTTTTAACGATGATAGCGATGGCTGCTTTTTCAGCCAAGTGAACAGCCGGCTCAACACACGTGTACGTACGTGCAAGCGGCGGCAGCACCGAGCAGCGAGAAAAGCCACCAGGCGCTCTGTGAATCTGTGATCTCTCAGAGTCAGAGCGCAGTGCTGCATCAGCCACTGTGTGCGCAGGCCAGAGGCCGCCGCTGGCCGGCGAAGCTTCCGTCGAGCCAGCGGTCACTCGGCAGTGGCAGACCGGCTCGCAGGGGCGAGTATCACTATCACCCGCGTCGATCGTGTGCGTCTCTCTGACGAAGCAGAGCCATTGCGGTGACCGTGGTCCATAGCCGGTCAAGCTGAGAGGCTATCTATCAGGGACAAGGACGGCTGGGCCGGTTCGCCGGTAGAAATTCGAAGGAATCTGAATAATTCTGAAAAATTTTATAGGAGAGTGAATAGTAAATTTCAGCAGTAAACAGTGAATTTCGGCTGGTTTTCTTACCAACCGAACGGTCCCATGGCGTGGCCACTTGCAGCCGGTAGGTGGCATGTGCACTCGTGGTGGCTGGCGCCCGTACATGCGGCCGTGGCGGCAGCCAGCGAGTCTGCTCCGCTCCGGTCTCCGGGTGTGTGCGTGGATACGGACACCAGCGCAGCGCACGGGCCGATCCTCGCGAAAGGGACCCCGGGTTGTATCGCGGATACGGGCTGCTTTCATCGCGTCTCTTGTAGTAGTAGCGCAGCGCCGCGCAGCGAAGTGCGAGGCCAATGTAGAGATCAGAGGTGTGTATGTATGGCAATCAAGCATACATTCAGGAAACGGCAGTAGGGAGCTTTTTTTTTTTAGAAAGGCGGCAAGAACCTTGCCGGATATTATTTATTAGACGAGGAAAAAGAGAAAAACAAAAGCAGTAGGGAGCTTTTGATTGCAAGAGAAACCTCAAGTCCAAAAGCAGATGGTAAGACGGTGAAGGCGTCGACGAGAAACCGACGAGCTGATAAACAATGAGACAATGCAATGCCAGAGGGGTAGAGAGAGAGAGAGAGAATGAAGAGGAGCAGATAATTTCAGCCGTGAGTGCTCAGTGGAAAGGGCTCCTACCAACCTAGTCAATTCTTTGCTTGGACAGCGGAAAAGAAAGGAACAAACAAAGACCAGATGATTGCAAAACACCACAACGATTGGAGGCGGGGACCCCGAGATGGCAGCGAGCGGCCGCGTGGCGACACTAGCATTCAGCTTCCGCCCGGCGCCCGCCTTCTTACGGCACCGCCATCTTCTTACGGCGCGCGCTGCACCGGCGGCCGCGAGTGGTTGGTAAGCCCTAGTACTGCCCTAGGCCGAGAGCGAGGGATCGGCGGGTGCAGCGACAACAGCGGAAGGCGGCGCAATGATACAAGAGCTACACCGACGCCCGACGCCGCGGCTGCTTGAGTAGCTAGGTACAAGTACAAAACGATATAGTTTGACTGTTGACAGTACGTCCGGCACAGCCATAGTGCGCTTGTTAAGTTGAACATGGTTTTACATGGCTGCTGCTGATGCCTGCGTCGGTGTAGCCTCTTGTGTCTTGTATCATTGCGCACTATGGCTGCGCTGACAATTTACATATCAACTGGAAGAGAGAAATGAGCTTAGCTTAGCGCTTGTTAAGTTGCACATGCACTCCAAAGCTCTCACCCCATGTGAGAGGGTATGGCAAGTAGATCCAAGTCAATGAAATACGGAGTACTCCTCCCGTTCCAAATTATAGTTCGTAAGATTTTTTTTTACCCCAAGTTTAACCGTTCGTCTTGTTCACAAAAATTTATGCAAACATAGTCAATTTTAAGTCATTCTTGAAGAACTTTTGTTAATAAAGCAAGCTACAACAAAAGAAGTGATATTTAGCACAAATTTTTGAAAAAGACGAGTGGTTAAACTTGGGGTTAAAAAAGTCAAACGAACTATAATTTGGAACAGATTTATTAGTATATATAAGGGCACGTGAAGAGCAAAATTGACATGTATGGTGTCGGTGTTTCGGACCGGGGGGTCCTCAACCGACTAGTGAATTTGTTCTGCGTGCTCCCGATTCCGGATGGTGATGCAAAGAGACACAAGGTTTATACTGGTTCGGGCAATCGAGGCCCTA